GACAGATCCTGCACAGTCACTTACAGAGAAGGATATATTTTTCTAGTGTCCAGGGTGTGCTTGTCTTACTCTCAGGAGTCTCCATTCTCAGAATCAAGTGACTGAACAAGAGGGTTACATAGGAAGGAGCCTGTAACTAGCAAAGTGAACAGACCCAGCTGATCAGAAGACCGCGAGTGCTCCACCGGGCCTTCTAGGGAGCAGAGCACTCGGGTCATTCATTCATTCATTCTCCCACCACTCAGGCAGCTGTCCCTCAAATACGCCTTGAATCTTAGCAACGAATGAAACACGTGGTGATAAGGGATGATAAGGCGCTCTAGGATCTTACTGTCTGGTAACAGAGAAGGGCACATGTGCCACCTGCAGTAGCAGAAGGTGATGCCAGCTGACAGGGATCAGGAAAGTGGGGGAATGAGTGATACCATCGAGGAATAAGTGCTTTAGGACAGCACCTTTAAAATCAGGCAGGACTTTGAGGCCTCTTCATTCCCCACCTCCTAGTTTCTCCCTTAGAAACTTTGGCTTCTCTCTGATTCCTCTTCCTTCTGTCCATGCCCTCTTCATGGGAGCCTTTCCTTGCTTTCAAGCAGAGCAAATGGGTCCCCCACTTGTCTATGCCTGTAATGGAGGTGATAGTAAAATATTCTGTCCCATTTCATGCTTCATGTGCTCCTGCAAGTCTGTCCAAACTGGCTGGGAAGCCAATGACCATCTCATTAATTTGGAATCACACTCTCCTAGCCAGTGAGCATCTTGCAGTGTGTAACATGTTGGGCTACTAACCAAAGAGTCAGCAGTTCAAATCCACCAACTGCTCCTCAGAAGAATGATGATGGGAGTAATCTCTTCCCATAAAGATTCACAGCCTTGGGAATCCAATGGAAGGTCACTAGGAGTTAAAACTGACTCTGCAGCAGTGGGCTTGGGGTTAACAGAAAATAGTTCTCCGGAATCAGGGCATTCCAGGCAAAGAGCTAGCAGAGACTTGGCCAAGTCTGAATGGTTCTTTGTCTCCAAATCTCTTTTTTTATTCTGTTTGCTTTTGTCATTAACCTGTCAGTTTCTGAGATTACAATTTTTGTCATACATTTTATGGTGGTTGCACCCAGATATTTTAATTTTACAAGTGAGCTCTTTCCAAAGTATACTATAGGATGTGAGGATTTTATTCTTAGTAAGCTCCTACTTGGAAAGTGACATTGCCTGACTTCATCCCTGGTTCCAGGGTGGGGCCCATCTGGAGGCCTGTGGACCACTGTTTATGCATTGCTGTGAGTTGTTGCCCAGTCAGCTCTGACTCCTAGTGACCCTATGAACAACGGCTGTGAACCCTGCCCTCTCCTGCACCATCCTCACTGTGCCAGTTATGCTTGAGCCCACTGCAACGGTCACTGTGTCAGTCCACCTTGTTGAGGGTCTTCCTCTTTATTGCTGAGCTCTGGTGGCTTAGTGGCAAGAAGTTGTGCTGCAATCTGAAAGGCACATGGTTCGAGGCCACCAGCTGCTCCACGGGAGAAGGATGGGCAATCTCCTCCCATCCGATTAACTGCTTCCGAAAACCCACCAGAAGGTTAGCTTTTGGTTGGTTCCAACTCTATAATACACAACAACATGAGTCCGTCAGGACTGTATGGTACATAATAACGGTATCTGACAGATGTGAGGCAAAAGGAAGACCCCTTTAAGTAGGGGCTTGGAGACGTGTGCAGTGAAATGTGGAAGTACATATGATGTGCTACATGTAAACTGGATTCGGTTCTAAAGGTAGAGGGAACTTCAGTGGCACAAGTCTGTAGAGTGGTGCTGCCTACCCATGTTTCCTGGTTGGTTTGAGTCCACCAGCACCTCAGAGAGAAAAAAATGGGCAATCCCGTGTGACTGTCAGCCTTAGAAACCCACTGGAGGTCAGCTATATGTTGGTTTCAACTCAAAACCAATGAGTACGTTTCCTCCTAAAAGTTCTGAATAAACATAAGCTCCTCCCCAGAGCCCTAGCCAAGCCTACAGATATTCCCTACAAACCTTCGCTCACTGGGACAGATTTGGGTGGCCCACACCCTTGTCTTCTATATAGTGTTGTAGTTAAGTGTCACCGAGTCAATTAAGACTCACGGCACCCTATGAACAGGTCTGAGCCCTGGCCTGTCCCGTGCCATCCTCACCATCTCTGATATACTTGAGCCCATTGTTACAGTCGTGGTGTCAATCCATTTTGTACGAGTCTTCCTCTCTTTCTAGGACCCCCCACCTTTCCAAGCATAATGTCTTTTCCCAAGGACTGGCCTCTTCTAACAACATGGCCAAAGTATGTGAAACGAAGTTTCACCATTCTTGCCTCTCAGGAGCGCCCTGGTTGCACTTTCTCTAAGAAAGACTTGTTTTTTCTTTAGGCAGTCCATGAGGTATTTAGGCCTCTTTTCCAACACTGCAACTCAAAGGCATAAATTCTTATTTGATATTCCTTACTTATTATCCAAGTTCAGATACACAGGAAGAAATGCAGAAGATCAAGACTTGGATCAGGTGCCCTTAGTCTCCAAACTGACATCCTTATTCTTTAGGACTTTGAAAAGGTCCTTGATAGCAGATTTTCCCAATGTAACATATCTTTAAATTTTTTTACTATTGTTACCCTGGGTGTTGAATCTTTTGTCCATTTATAATGATATTGACTATTGGTCCAGTGGTGAGAAATTTTGCTTTCTTAATGTTGACATGAAATCCATATTAAAAGCTGTAGCCCTTGCCCATCTGCAGCAAGTGTTTCAAGTCCTCTTCACTTTCAACAAACAAGACTGTGTCATCTGCATAACCTGAGTATAATGTTCCTCCAATTTTGATGCCACATTCTTTTTCATACAGTCCAGCTTCTCAAGTTACTTGCTCAGCACACAGACTGAATAAGTGTGGAGGAAGGATACAGCCTTGATATATACCTTTCTTTTATTTTAAACCATGCAGTGTCTTGATCTTAAGCCATGCAGGTTCTTTTGCTGTGTTTGGACTACAGCTTTTTGGTCTAGGTATAGTTTTTGCATTGACACACTTAAGTGTTCTGGGATTCTGATTTCTCTTATTTTACATATTCTAAACCTATAAATCTGAGTATTGAATTATAAATTATGTGAGGATTACTGGGGCTATCACTTCAATATGTTATCATCATCTCTTTATTATTGGTATTATTTATTATTTTTAGCATTCCTCTGATTGTTGACCAAGTGCCCGGGAATCTTGTATCCTGACAGACCTCTCTCTGGACTGTCTACTTCTTTAAAAAGGATCACAAGTCCATTCAGCTTCTCACGGCAGGCTTCTGACAACCATCAGCTTCCTTGAAATGGGACTCCTGCACCAAGGACACACTTCTTTTCTGTTACAACACATTTCATGGTTTTAGGCATTTTATAGACTCAGGAGGGACCAGCTCCTGGAGAAGGACATCATGCTTGGAAAAAGTAGAGGGTCCGTGTAGAAGAGGAAGACCTTGAACCCTCACGGTCTGACACAGGACCACATCAATGGTGTGAGCATGGCAGACATTGAGGACAGTGCACATTGGGCAGGGGCTCCTTCTATCGTACGCAGGGTTACCACTCGTCAAAGCCAACTCGTGGCACCTACCACAGTTTCCATGGAAAAAAACCACACAGAGGCAGAGATTCTGCGCATGGCCCTGCCCTCACAAGGTCCCTCATGCTTCTCCTCACTCTTTCCCTCCCCACTGGTTTCCCCTCACCCCTAATCTAACCTGTAGTGTGCTTGGCATGTTCCCTTCACCAAGGACCTAGGAAGGTAACTAGGGTCAAGCCCTGGAGCCCAGGTGGAGAAGCGTCCCCAGTCCCTACAAGGGAGCCCACCATGCTATTGACTTGGGCTCCCAGATCCCTTCCCCATAAGCAATGTTTGAGAATAGTCCAAGAATATTCTGACAGCAGTCAGTACAGAGAGCGAGAGCTGTTTAAGAGCGTGATGTGGCTACTGAGAGGACAAAGCACTAGGTAAGACATTGTAAAGGGAGTTGGAAAGGTGGTGATTGACATATAGGCCATACTGATGCATTCCATGGGGGGGTGACAGGAAGTGGGAGGTGAGGGAGAAACCAAAAGTGACTCCTGAGATCTCAGACCTGTTTTGTTCACTGGTAAAAACAGTGCTCTGTATGCAGACAGAGCACTCTTCTTGAGTCCTTTTTGACTATGATCCCATGGAGATACATCACAGCAATACCTTATCTAGTACAACACACACAGGCACACATACTGCATATAGAACAGCTCCAGTGAGTTAGCCTTATTGCAAACAGTTCACACAGAATTGTTGAAGGAATTCCAGATCATTTGAAAACAAAATTCTGATTGCAACCCCTAGATTGATTTCATAGGCTACTGTCGTTAGGTCGTTAGGTGTTGTCAGTCCATTTTCTGAGCTCTGGCAGCTTAGAGTGTAAGGAGTTGCACTGCCAACACAAAGACAGGCAGTTCAAAACCACCAGCAGCTCCATGGGAGAAAGATGGGCAATTTACAGCCTCTCACAACCTGCTGGAGGGTCAACTATGAGTGTTTCATTTCGATGACTCAACAACAACAGTCCATTTTCAAACCACAGTAATGCCATTGACTGAGTAAAGCTACCCCACAGGATTGCCTGGGCTGCAGCCTGTACAGGAACAAATTACCAGAACTTCCTCCCACAGAGCCTTTGCGTGGGTTTAAACCTCCAACCTTGTAGTGAAGTCGCTGATGAATTTAATTGTGTGACCAGGGCTATTTCATAGTCGACTAATGGATTCCAACTAGGTACTCAGATAGAGAATGGGTCAGGAGGAGCAGGCTGAAGGAGTGGGCTGTGGGTGGGATGAACTCGGATTATGCTGGTGGGCATCCATAGGGAAAGGCCGGGCTGGCAATGGGAGAGTTCAGCACAGGTGGAATGGTAGACTTTGTGGGAGGTTTTACTTCATCTCTCTGTCTCTCGATCTCTTTCTCCTCCACAGACAGGAAGATTTCTGGGGGAGGTGGACGGTGCTTTCATGACCCAACTGCTAAGCATGGGGGTGTTCAGCCAGTAAGTGGGACACACTTCCTCAGTTGAAGACACAGCCCAGGCAATACATGATGCTAAACTGTCCAGAGAGACACAGTGTCCTGACCTCAAAAACTCACATTGAAAGCCCGAAAGGGTTCCAAAAGCAAGCTTTCTGAGGCCAGGGACTAGCAATGAGGTGGGAAGGGCCAGGTGCTCATGTGGGCATCTTTGCTGGGGATCTTCTTTCTAGCAATTCAGACATTAAAGGGGAAACCATCCAGCTCAAAGAGCAAGCCATCTGCTATCCCTTTATCTTCTTAAACTACCCAAAAGTCCAGCAACGTAATTTTCAGCATGTGCTTCTTCTGACTGCCCCGGCCCTAACTCCCGCATTGTTAGAAGTGGTAGTGAATGGATACATTGCCAGCAAACCTCCCCTGAAGCAGGGACATGGAGATTGGTGATAGTCTTAGACTCACATATCTGGTTTCTGGTTTTCAGAGTGACCATGTACGACTACCAGGCCATGTGCAAGCCCCCAAATCACCACCACAGCGCAGCACAGTCCCTGACCAGTGTGAGTGTCCACCCAGCCCTTCCTTCTGCACATCTGCAGGTCTGAGGCTCTTCCCAGCCTGAGGGAGATGCTTGTCATCAAAGCCAGGACTGCCCACCGCACTGGTCTGTCTTCATCCCGCGACAAGCAGCCTGGGCCCAGGCCACACTATTGACCCAAAACGTCCTCTCCACATCTATCTTCACCCCTGCTCCTGCCCCCTCCCCAAACCCGGGACCTCAAGGGAACAATTCTGGCAGCTAGTGAAATAGAGGATTGGGGCACAGAAAGGCCATGCCCCCCCCTGTTGCTGTGCACTCAGCCTCACCTGCTGGTGCTGTCACACAAATCTTCATGGATCCTTGGCAGCTGCCGCCCTCCAAACACCAACAAGCATCTCCTGGAGATGCAGAGCCTGCCAGGGGTCAGGGGCACTGCCTAAACCCCTGCTGCCTGAACTACAATAGGAATTGCCCACGTAACTGCTGAGAAAGGAGTGGGAGGAGGTGGACCTTCCTGGCTCTGCTCAGCTGCTTCTCCCTCTGGGCAAGGTGGTAACAGCATGCCCTCTCCTTTCCAGCCAATCCGGGCCTTCCTGACTGCTACTAGGTGGCTGCTGAATGAGCTCTTGCTGTGAGTAGGGGTGTGGGGAGACAGGGATGGGGCTGTAGGTGTTGTTCATGACAAGGTCTGAGGTCCAGGTTGCCTCACCTGGTACCAGCCCAGGGGAAGGATGCCAAGGTCCCTGAGTGGATGTGACTCATATGTAAGGGCCCCCGCCTCCTCCCTGTATCCAGAAGCACCTCTTCTTCCCCCGGAGCCCTCAAATAAAGAAGAAGGTAGCCTTATGAAGTCACTAGTGTATATACTTTCATGAATGTAGTTATTAGTAAGACTAGGGGAAAGTAAGAGGGGGAACCCACAATATATGTGAAAGAAATATAATGCAAGTGAGTGTCTAAAACACAAGGTACATGCATAAAACACAATATATAGGAAGGGCAGGCCGAGCCCTCCAGGAGCAATGTTGTTCCAACCCTCTCTGAGAAGTGGGGAGGGCAAGTGGGTCTCCCAGATCCGTCCTGTGTCTTACAGGTTCCTGCTGGAGTTGGGCGCCTGGGGCACATGGCATGCAGACAGCGGGGCTGAGGGTGAGTGCACCTCGAGGATCATGGCATGGATTTAATAGCAGTGTCACCTCAGTCAGGTGGACTGAGACTTTTAAGTGATGGCGTGGGTGACAGGTCAATGGGGTACTCTGGGGGGGGGGTCCTTGTTCATGTCATATCTTGTCCTGTCTGCTTTCATCACCTTCCTCTCACACCTGGCTTTCCCCACCTCTCTGTGTGATACCTCATCATCCTGGGACATCATTCATCCGCAAACCATCACTCATCCCTCGTGACATCATCACCCTGTGACATCCTGACCTCGCATGACGTCATGACCTTCCTGTGCCCTGTCCGCTCGCTCATGCTGGGTCTCATTTCCTGTGCAGCCAAAACCGTTTTCCATCACTGTAAGTAGCATCCAGTCAGGAGACCATGGTTGCCCAAGGGTGGGGTAAGGGAACAGTGAGCTGCAAGGGCTGTGTCTCCGAGATAAACCTGGGCAGCCCCTCCACCCCACATCATTCCAGTCTCCTCTCCCAGCTGACAGCACTGTTCCTGGGCCGAGGGGCTAGCTCAGATCTCACATGTATAAGCACACCCCAGGAAAATTTGTAAATGCCCACCATCTCCCACGGTAAGAGAAGTTTAGACTCCAGGGTGACACGGTCTAGCACCTGTAACCAAGGGCAGGTGGCAGTCCACCCGGTCCCGCCAGCCAGGGGGGTAGTGAGCCCTCAGCAGCACCTCAAGTGAGAGGGGATGGAAAGCAGAGCCCTTGTTCCCAGGAAGGTCTCAGGACAGAAGAAACAAACTTGTTTGAGGGCAGAGCACCCATAATGGAAAGCCTTAACCATCAATCAAAAGAAAACCTCAACCTCAGCCAGTGGGAACTCAGCCACACCCTCAGGAGAGGGATGACCACCTCATACTTAAACATAAAAGGAAATAAGCACACACCTACTCCTGGGGCACCCGGGAGCTCCTGTAACCACAAGGCAGTCTCCAGTTGGACAGTTCCGTTCAACTCCTTCAGCACAACAGGACTTTCCCTCGCAGCCCTGGACAGTCTCACGGCCTGGGCTGCACCCGTCTCACCTCAGCCCTGCCCCTCCCAGGCTCATTCTTCACACGGATCTTGCCCTGCTCCGTGCCAGGGCCCAGGCTTTGGCCCTGCAGGTGTCCTCAGGCCTCAGCTCACTTGGCTGATTCCATGCCACACTTCTAGACTCCTTTTGGAAATCACACTCCACAGTGTTCACAGGACAGCTCTGAGGGACAGTTCACAGTCACTTGGTGTCTGTGACAGGAACCAGGAACCATGTGTCAAAGCCTATGTAGAAGCTGAGCCCTGCACAGAAATAGAAAACAAGAGTTTCACCACACAGTGAGGCAGGGTGGGCACACAGCATCTCTCTCTGCTTCTCTTGTCTTCTCTTTCTGCTAGCAGCTGCAGCTTGAAGATGATCTTAGTTCTTTGGTAAAAAGTAAGAGGATTCTCCTCAATCTGTTGTTCAAAATTCCCCTACTTCAGAGTATATCCCTGGAGGGTCTTCTCTCTCTGACTAGCAGTCCAGGCCTGGTCCTGTCAGTCTTCAGCATCTTCAGGAAACTGGGCTTGCAGGCCAAGGACTGGGTTCCAGTATAGGCATTGCCTGCCCCTCCGACGCCAGCTATGTGACCTTGGGAAGCCATGTTTTATGGCATTGCTGTGATTGTTATAATGGGTACTACTGAGATAAACTTACCAGGCAAACTGGCTCAGGTGACAGAGTGAGGCAGGTCCAGCCCCCAGCAGTTCCCCCCACGCATGAAGCCAGCAGGACGGGTCTGCAAGGAGAGGAGCTGAGGGCAGACTTGTACAGGCTCGGCCAGAGCTGCTGTTCTCTGACCATAAGCAGAGCCAGGAAGGGAACCTGACCCAACATCACAACTGTTGTGGATGCTGTGACTGTTTCTCCTATTAAGAGTTTTCTGCCATAGACTGGCCTTTCTTTTTGGTTCAAGGTCCGGTAAGAAGCTTCTGAATCTGGAAATTAATAAGACCTGTAACAACACTTGAATAGTTTTTTATTCTTTCACCCTGAGAAATGCCAAATGTGCCTCGCGCCTTTGTTGTTCTAATGCCAGGATTTTGCATATTTCATGATAATGTTTTGCTTTCTTTGTCTTTTCAGAGGGCCCTTTGAAATCTGTTATTGTCATTTCTTCCATTCCTTTTAGCTTTTTATATTCTAAAGCAAGCTTCAGAGTATCTTTTCTTTTTCCCCCTGCTTTTTGTTTTCTTCACATATGAAGATGCTCTCCTTGACAGTATCCCACAACTGGTCTGATCTTCAGTTCTCAGTGTTCAGGGTATCTGATCCATTCCTGAGATAGTCCTAGCTTCAGGTGGGACAGACTCAAGGTCATATTTTGACTTTCATAGGCTTATTTTCATTCTCTTCCATTTCAACTTGAACTAGCACATGAGTGATTGATGTTCTGTTACAGTCAGTCCCTGTCCTTCTTCCAACACAATGCTTAATTGTACTCATGTGTAACCTGTACATAGACCAAGTAGTAGTCATTTGAACAGAAAACAGGGATATTGGACAGCTTTAAATCAGGAAAGGCACCAATCATAATAAATGTTATAAAGCATTCTATGAATCATTGAATTAAAAACTAATGCCATTTGCAAACTTCAAAATTTTTAAAATCAGAAAAGATGTGTATTAAGGTTGTATTCTATCAACTTACTCAATCTTTATGCTAAGGTGACCTAAGAGACTGGACTATATGAAGAGATGGCATCAAGATTGGAGGCCACCAGCGATGACACAATCTGTCTTGATGAAAGCAAAGATGACTTGAGACACTTACCAGTGAAGCTCAGAGACTACAGACTTTGTTAAGAAATGAACCTCCATATAAAGAAAACTAAAATCCTCAAAACTGGCCCAGTAAGCAACATTATGACAAACAGAGGAAAGACTGGCATCGAGGATTTTTTTACTGGGATTCACCATTGAGATCAAACAATGTAAAAATGCGGGCAGAGGTGCCGCTGAGAACCTCTCCAAAGTGCTAAAGGGCAAAGACAGGGAAAACTAAGTGCACCTGGCCTAAGCCGTGATGCCTTCAATCACCGCACATATGTGTGAGAGCTGGACGAGGAATGAGGAAAACAGAAGAGTTGATGCCTTTGGAGTAGTGATGAAGAGGAAGAATATCGATTAGAATGTGAATTATCAAAAGAATCAACAATTTTGTCTCGAAAGAAGAATGGCCAGAATGTTACATGGAGGTGGGACTGGTGAAACTTGTCTCACGTATGATGGGCATGTTAGCTGGGGGATCAGTAGAGGGTGAGCCACAAGGAGGAAGATCCTCAAACAGGATGAATTCACACAGCGGCTGAAGGAATGCACTCGAGCACAAAGTGACCTGTGCGACGGCCCAGGGCCCGGCAGTGGTTCATGCTGTTGTTGATAGTCTCTAAGCGTCAGAGATGATGTGATGTTACCTAATAGCCTTTTAGGACCATTACAAAATAAAGTCACATCTATGCCTCTATTTCCAGGCCTATAAAATAAGGACAATGCTACTCTGTCCTCCTATTTCACAGGCATGCCAGAAGAACAAATGAAAGGCTTGGAAAGGGCTTTGAAGAAATGGGTTCTTTCTACACAAAGTACTGCGGCTATCTGGAACAATCGCGATTCCCTTCGCCTCCAGACCAGCCCAGCATGATGCCTGTCCTCAAGAGCAGGCTTCTCTTTTGGATTCATCTTTTGTTCTTGTCTTAATATAAGTGTCACACAGACAACCCTAGGAACCTGAGGTGCTGCTGGGATGAGGGGTCCCCTGGTCTTGGGCAGCTTTTCGTACTAGTACTCACTGTCCCCTCTCTTTTGGCCTGGTGGTGTGGCCAAGATCCCTGCTGCCCTGCTGGGTGTCTGTTCTACAGGAAGAGTTGGGGCCTGACTAGGAGCCAGACCAGGGCTGACCTCAGAGCTGTATTTGCTAAAGCAGCACTTAAGTTAAACTCGGAAGTGTCTCCTTTTTACCATGAATGGGAGGTAGGCTAAAGTCTCTGGACAGGCTGCATCTTCTTTTGTCATTGATATTCTTGGCTGGTCTGATGGTAGTGGGGTATCAGAAACTGTTAACATTAGTGCAACTCATTGATATCCTCACTATCTCAGGGCTGAAAGGGACCCCTAAATGGCACATTTATATGACCTCCCTCCTTGAGGCCGACCTTTCGGTGAGGATGTAAGAGTTGCTACGAGGTTCCCCTGAACTCCTGTGCACACACATGCCTACCTACTTCCATATGTGTGTGCAGAGCAGCACTGCTCCAGCAGGGTTTCCAGGGCTACCATTTTTCAGAGGCAGACCACTGGGTCTCTGCTGAGACACTTCTGGGGGGGTTCACACTGCCTAGTCTAGGGCATGTCCATTTGTGTCACCGTGGGATGCTACACATTGAGGATACAGGCTTCCAAAGAGAGGACGTGGCCTGCCCAAGGCCACAGGGCAGTGGATTGCACTGTCCATTGGGAGAACTCTCTGCTTCATTTGTTCCTGGTTCCTCTTCCCTTCCCTCCTCTCTCATCACCTTTACTTGTCCCAGGAATTTTCAAATAAGCAAATGTGCAAATAGACTAGGAAGAAAAACACCTCAGGCTCACTGTGGTCAAGGCAGCATCCACTGACCCTCCACTGGGTTTCTGTGGCTGTAAATCATACAGGAGACAGTCCATCTTCTCTGGAGAAGCCTCTGGTGGATTCTAACAGCCAGAGATGCGTCACTCCGGGGTTGGTAGTACAACTCCCTAGGAATGGGACCACCAGAGCTCCCCGGTGGTAGAAGAGAATGGACTCGCGGCAGCAGCGAACCTCTCATCTCAAAGTGTTCAAGCAGAGATGGGGTGTGTGTGTGTGTGTGGGGGGTGATATCTCGGATCTCTCCCATCTCTGTGACGCTCTTCCTCACATCTGTGCCCGTTTTCCCACAGCCCACAAACACAAGAAACTGGACATGCTGCAGCCCTGTGACACAGAGTACCCCGTGTTTGTGCACCAAACGGCCATCCAGGAGGCCAATGGGATTATTGAGTGCGGGATCTGTCAGAAGTAAGTTCTCTCTCATGGCAAAACAGATGTCTTGTAGGGATCTGTGACCATCAAGGAGTTGGTGTAGGAGAAATAGGCAAGGCTTCCAAGTCTCTAGGGAGGACACCATTTGTTTATCATATTCACTGTCCTCAGGGAAGGAAACGTAGGGTAGAGGGTATGAGGTGAGGACAGTTGAGGGCATTGGACAGTTCGGTGTGCTCAAGACAGGGAATCCAAGAAAGACAGTTCAGAGAACCATGTCAGCAAGTTCCCTTCACCCCCAGGTCCCAGAGCACCACAGACGACTCCACAATCACTCTTGATTCAGCATTTGCCTCCTTTACCTTTGTTTTGCTGTTAATATGAGCCATTGAGTCAGAACCAACTCGTAGCTGACCCTCCAGTGTTTTTCAGAAGCTGTAAATCAAGGAGAAGGGAGAATACTTCTGACTCTGGGGGATTCAAAGCGCCTGCCTTTGGGTTGGCAGCACAACGCCTCAAGATAAGCCACCAGCTCTCCTTACTCTTGCTTAGGAATGTGTTAAAAACAACAACAGTTACCAGTGAGTCATTAACAACCCATGTGCCCTCGCGTGTCACAGCAGACCTGAGCTCCATAGGGTTTTCAGTGACTGAGTTTTCAGAAGTAGTTCACCAGACTTTACTTGTGAATGCCTCTGAGTGGATCTGAACCTCCAACAAGTGGGTTTAGCAGTCAAGGGCATTCGTTAACCTTTTACCAGGAGACTCCCAGCTCAGAGATAGAAGCTCAAGAACGGAACTGTGAACACCCACAGAAGCACAGTAATACACAAGCCCTGTCAGAAACCATGCAGGCTACCACTCCACTGAGGGGACATTTGAAGACAATAATAAAGTGACATATAGCAGAGCCTACAGGGGGCACAGTTCTTGAAACTTCCTAGTCAAAACCAAACCCCCTGAGGGAATGAGGTGGTCTCTGAGAACATCAAGGTCAATTGGCATAAAGATGCTGTTTTACATCTGACTCTGTTGAGTAGCGACTAGGGTCTTAAAAGCTCATTAGTGGCCTTTGAAGATACAGCTACTAGTCACTACCTGGCTGGAACAAGGAAAAGAGAAGAAAAATAAAGATGCATAGAAACGGAGTAGAAACAAGTCCACATTTCCCATATAAATAAATCCAGTTCTGAGCTGCACAGAGAAACACAAAATCTTAAGGATATTCTTCCAGATGGGTGAGACTGGAAGAGGACCTGAGGTTTCCCTTTGTAGCATTACCAGGTCATAAGGGGCATCTCACTCCAGGCCTGGCTCCTGCTCGGGGGAGCAGCCTCGACTCAGGCTGAGGCCCAAGTCAGACTTTCTTCTGGGTAGAAGCCACTAGGTCCAGTGGGTTCTCCTAGTGCTCACCCAGGGGGGCAGGGAGGCCTGGCTGGAAGCTCCGTCCTGCTGATCTCTCCCCCTCAAACCACGAGAGGACCTCCTCACCCAGAGAATTTCTGTCCTGAACCAAGACACAAAGATGCCCTAAGGAGTAGCCTCTCAGATAGACTTGTCATTTACCAGGGATTTCCCAGGATGTCCCTTTTATTCCCAGCCTGCAAACAAATTCTTATATAGTGTAATACTTCAGATTTTTTTATCAAACAGACCCCAGATTCACTCGCTTACCAGCATGTAATGTTGGGTAAGATTTTAGCACTGCATGGTTCAAAATTGGGAAGGGCGTATGCCAGGGATACATCCTATCTCCATACCTTTTCAACCTATATGCAGAACAGATTATCCGGGAGGCTGGGCTCTATGAGGAGAAATGTGGGGTCAAGATTGGTGGACGATTTATCAACAATCTGCGTTATGCAGATGACACAACCCTGCTTGCAGAAACTGAAGAGGACCTGAAGCACCTGCTGCAGAGGGTCAAGGACTGCAGCTGCCAATATGGATTGAGGCTCAATGTCAAGAAGACAAAGATTCTCACCACTAGACCAACTGGCAGCATCAGGATGGATGGTGAAGAGATTGAGATTGTACACAGCTTTAGTTTGCTTGGCTCCTCAGTCAACACTCTTGGCAACAGTAGCCAGGAAATTAAAAGGCGCATTGCCATGGAAAAGGCTGCTGTTAGGGACCTCTCCAAAGTACTGAAGAGCAATGGTGTCTCTCTGGAGACTAAGGTGCGTTTGATACAAGCCATGGTCTTCACAATCACTTGTTATGCATCAGAGAGTTGGACAATGACCAAGGAGGATAGAAGGAGAATTGATGCCTTTGAGCTGTGGTGCTGGAGAAGAGTATTGAGAATACCATGGACTGCTAGGAAAACAAACAGATTTGTCCTGGAAAGGGTTAAACCGGGTGGCTCCTTGGAGGCAAGGATTCTGAGGCTCCGTCTAACTACTTTGGACATGTTGTGAGGAGAGACCGGTCCTTGGAGAAAGACATCATGCTTGGGAGGGTGGAGGGACGGTGCAGGAGGGGAAGGCCATCTATGAGGTGGATTGATTCAGTGACTGGGATAAATGGAATGGGAGTGTCAGAGACAGTGCGATTGGCACAGTACAGAGTTTAGGGCTGTTGTACATAGGGTCGCTATGAGTCGCAAGCAACTTGACGGCCCATAACAACAAAAACATTATTATTTGTGAAATTAAATTAAGTCATAGTGAAAGTAAGCATGTTGGGCTAATTTGAATTTAAAAACAGGCTCTGTTACTTCCTAGTTGTAAAACTTTAAAAAAGTTTCTTAATTTTTTTTTTCTTACTGAGTTGAATTTCTTAAGATTTTTTCATGCTAATTTTTTTTAAATTTCTTAATTTTTAGCCTCAGTTTTCTAATCTGCAATGTGGGAATAACCTCATATAGAATTGTGAAAATTAAATATTTATGTGTGTATTTACATGGTTCGAGGCCACCAGCTGCTCCGTGGGAGAAGGATGGGAGATCTACTCCCCGTGCAATTAATCAGCTGCCTCCAACAATTCCTTATTGGTTGCTTCCGACTCTATGGTACACAACAACTTATAAATATATCTATCTACCTATCTGCGTGTATGTGTGTATTCCCTAATCCTTAGGAAATGTCAGTAAGTAGCAGGTATTATATAATGCATCAGGTCTTGTGCACAGTAGGCTTTCTAGAAGTGTTCCTTCCTCCGCTCAGGATTACTGGCCCGTATGCAGGAGCAATGTGCCACCTTGTGGCCAACTCTGAGCATTGCATCCTCCTCACAAGGACTGTCCACCCAAAGCAATAACCCCAAATCCCTATTTGCTTAGGATACTCTTGATTTGTGCCTACTGCTCCTAAATATATTAATAACAATGCCTTTCACTATCAAAAGTATCTGGGTTTGAACTTCCTCATATCCTCCAGTCTGCAAGGAAAAGAGCAGTGTCACTACAAATGCTTATGAGTCAAATAAGCTTTTCACAAAAACGCCAACTCAACGGCATCAAGTCGGGACTGACTCACAGCTGACTTCCAGAAAGTTTTCAGAGGCTGTAAATTGCATAGAAGGAGACTGCTCATCTTCCTCCCACATAGCAGCTGGTGGCTTTGAACCACTTACCTTTAGATTAGGGAGCTTTGGTGCCACATGATAAGTAGTTACACTGCCAATCCAAAGGCAAATGGTTCAAACCCACCAGCTGTTTTGCTAGAGGAAGACAGTCTCCTCCCAGGCAATTTGCAGCCTCTGAAAACCACTGGAGGGTCAGGCATGTAACAACCACTACCACCTTTGGGTTGGCAGCACAATTCCTTACCCAGGTCACCAGAGCTCCCTTAATATAAGCCCTTATGACTGTTGTCTTTTGTCTAAAAACTTTCTTGCAGGTGCCCCTCATCTGAGTGTCCTATGATTCTGCTTCCTAACTCACCACTCAACCGTGCGCAAGAAGTCTCCAGAGGTTCTTTTCCTCAGAGCCTCTGTCCGTAACTGCCCAGCCTGCCATGAAGTTCCAACCAAGCTCTCACATCTCTCTTTTGCTGCAGGATTTTTGTGATGCAAAGGATCCCCAACAGTAACCTTCTCCTCCTGGTGACAGACTCCACGTGTGATTGTAGCATCTTCCCTCAAGTCCTACAAGAGGCTACAGAAGTGAAATATATCCTTCCAGTCCCCCAGATTCTAAGGGTCCTTTGTCCTCTCATCATCATCTCCCAAATCATAACTGTTTGTACTCCAAGCCCTTCTCATCCCTGGGGGTGTCTCCCACTGCCTGAAGCTGCTTGCAAGCCAATTGGTCTCAGCAGCTCACTAGTGATAGAGCGGGTTTCTCTAAAGGCTGCTCAGCCCTGCTGTAAGCAATTGACCTTGACAGAGAATTCCGCACATAACACCTCTGTCAAATGTGATAGGATGCGCTCCCAGAAGCTGCGCCAGCGACCAGATACCTGCCACGCTTTCCATCCAGAGGTACAGGGCTGGGGCGGGACAAGAGGGAGACTGAGCTCCATCCCCTAAATCTCTGTCTACCAAGCTGTGTGACTCCCTGTGCACTTGCAGAAATGAGTATATCTGTTCACTGTGAATTCAAATGGACAAACACGTCTCAGTGAAGTATGTTCACACACTGCAGTCACATTTAGGCCTCTATGTCATGAAACACTTTCACATCAATCAGAATCCAAGGGCCCATTTACAAAGAGAATCACATTTCTCTGGGTTTGAGCCCTGAGTTAAAACACGGCATTTGCAGGTTTGCCTCATGCCTGCTACCCCAAGTTCCCAGTGCTCTGAGCACATGGGAGAGGCCACTGTGTACAGTAATGCTTAAGGCCCTGCATCAAGTGCCCACCCTCCACTACTGGGCCCTGGGCCAGTGCTCTACACACACTGTAGTTCTTGCTGGTTATCCGTCTCTCCTTTCCCACTGTTGTGGAATCAAAACCAACTCACAGCAAGGTCCCAGTAGGTTTTTAGAGCAGTAAGTGGCACTGGAGGAGACTGCCTGCTTTCCACCAAGGAGTGGCAGGCAGATCCAGACTGCCAGAACAGTGCTGTCCTTGGGGTAGCAGCACGACTCCCGGGGCCAGCAGAGCTCCCTTTGCTGGTTATGTCTGCTACAAAGTCATACCAAAGATGCTCTCAGAGTCGATGTGACTTTGCTAAAGTCATCCTAAGAAGCCGCTCCACAGCCATTCTGAGACTGTGGTGAAGCAGGGAAAGCTTGAGTCCAGGAAGCCGTACTTCCTCCCTTAGTTTAGAAAGGTGGCGGTGCTTTTCCACTTTCCGGAACCCTGTTCTCTCATGCTCTTGGCCCCATTTGTCCCAAAGACCTCCTCCCTGCCCCTCCTTCCTGTCGGCCTAGAGGACTGTCCCGTCAGTACACTTGCCTCTCACCTCTGTTCTGGAGTCCACAGGAGAACGCCCAGGACTGCGGCGGCGCCTTGGCCGTCTCAGCTTCGCTCTCCCTGCTTCTACTGCTCCTGTGCTCTTGGGCATCACTGCTCCAGCTTCTGCGGTGACACTCACGGGGCCTGACCCTCTGCCTTGGCAAGGTGATCTTGCCAGATACTTTCTAAAGAGTCAGCAACTGGGGTGGGGGTAGGGGGGTCCAGCTCACTTCCTCTGAGTCATCAACCCCCACTCCCCAAGTCAGTACCCATCTGTCTTTAGTTGAAGGTCCCCGCCAGTGCAGAAACCAAGTGCAGAGCCCCAGGGGCCTGGGACCAACTAGCCTAAGTCTCAGCGGGCATCTCCCATCCTTCCTACCTCTTCTTCAGGAGCCTGGCATGAACTCAACCCAGACCAACACTGAAGAATTCCGTTCCCCCTGTGCTCCTGAAGTCCAGCTCTTTCTAATCAACTTCTGGTCTTCAGAAGGATCCAAGGACCTCCTAGTGCTGAGAAAAGAAAACAGGATGAGGCCACTGACAGGTCGATGACCCAAAAAACATGCCTCCCACCTAGGATGTAACTTCTGCAGAATGAGGTTCATAGTAGAATAGTAGAGAACAGCTTATTGTGAGCAAGAAAGAGGGCAGGGAAGTACATATAATGGGAAAGGGTGCAGGACAGGAAAAGATAGGAACTCCCTTTAGGAAGCATTAACATGGCCAAACATGAGGACTACAAATTGTTCTTTCAAAAACCTCTTTGCAAAGCCCTAACTTAAAGGAACTTTCGCATTGATCTAAGAAAAAGTTAATCTTTGTATCAAAAGGGTTGATATATGCAATGCTTTATAAAAAACTGGATGTGTGTTCAGGGGAGGTGCAGTGGTTCCAGGGGTGAAAAGCAGCCCTTCATGGTGACAGGGTAAGGGGCTCTCCTAAGGTCCTGCCTCAGCTTAGTCAGACACCCCCCCAACAGATTCAGGTCCCATCCTGACACTTCATGGCCACTAAATCTACAAAGTGGAAGCAGGAGTGGCATCCACTTCCTAAACAACATGCTTCTGGAAACTCAATGAACTTTGATAAATGTCAATAGTTGTAGAGGAGCGTCAGGACTTTTGTTCATGGGTCACTGGGTCGTGATCGCCTTGAAGGCAATCAACAACAACAATCTACAAAACGGATTATTTAACTATCCCTTAGGGATGGAACTTCTAGGGAGATGCCAATTTGTAAAGTCCACTGAGAAGCCTGTATCATGGAACTGCCCAATCCAGGAGATGCCTCATCACCCTAGACCCCATATACTTACCTACCCACACCATCCTGACACTCTGGTGACCCTGGAACAGAGGGAAGATGACCTCGAGACACTCCTCTTTTCCTTCCCCTGAATGGTGGGGAGAGACCAGGCTCCCCAGAGACAGCCAACTCCAATATGAGAGCAACTTAGGGTAGAATGATATTGAAATTATAGGGTAACCTCCGATTTTAAGTTTAACCAACCTCCAATGGGGAAGTCTGGAAAACCCCCCCCCCAATGATGTAGAAGCCCAGGAATCTCTCCTTCCCGATCCTCCACTGCCCTTTGACCTCCATGTTCAAAAGTGCAAGCTGTTCAAGTTTCCCACCAGCACACAAGCCCACTTCCTAAGGTAGCCAACACTATAGACAGTCAATGTATTTGTAAGGTGCCTTACATTGTCGATTAAACATTACACTCACCGCAAGTTAAGCCTTGTGAGGTAAAAATTAACGGTCTCAGCTACAGCTGAAGGAACTGAGGTTTAGAAATCAGGAACTTATTTATTTCTGCTAGTAGCATAATAATGCTAATAGTAGCTACTGTTTACGTATACCAGGTACATAAAGCAAACGGCATACCTCAGAGATACTGAAGGTTCAGTTCCACTCCATGGTAATAAAGTAAACGCTGAAATAAAATGAGTGATGTGAACTTCATTTCCTGGTATATTGAAAAGTTATGTTTACACTGTCATGCAGTCTGTTAAGTGTGTGTTAGCATTATCAAAAAGTTTCAGATATTCTGAGAATTACCAAAATGTGCCACAGAGACACAAAATGAGCTCCTTATTGGAAAAATGCCACTGATAAGACTTCTGCAATGTAGGGCTGGCTGCTACAAAATTTGTTTGTAAAAATAATTCACTGTCTGTGGAATGCATTAAAGTGAAGCACGAGAAAATGATGTATGCCTGAACTAACTCAAAGAATCTTTATAACAACCCTTTGAAGGAAATATTATTATTAGAGTTCTAAATGGATAGCTTCCTTAGTCACTGTCCAGCCTTCACTTGTATCTTAGGTAATGGATAAGGCAGCATTTGTATCTGGCACACCTTAGCTTTCAAGGTGACTTCTTTGCTTTAAAAGGATCTGCAGATTTCCCCAGTGCAAGTCAAGAATTGATGCGTCTGAGCAATGGTATTGGTGGAGAATAGTGAATGCACCATGGACTGACAGAAATGTACAAACCTGTGTTGGAAGAAGTACAACCAGAATGTTCTTTAAACACAAAAATGGCGAAACTTCATCTCATGTATTTTGGACATGTTTTGGGATGGGGGGGTAATTTTATTATTTGTGTGTGTGTGTGTGTGTGTGTGTGTGTGTGTGTGTGTGTACCATCAAATTGGATCTGACTGGTACAGGAGGAGATTTCCCCTCCTTCTCCAGCAGAGCATCTGGTGGATTTGCACAATGTACCTCTGGGACTGCAGTGCAGCTTCTTGCCACTAGGCCACCAGAGCTCCCTTGGACATGTTTTTAAGAGCTCAGTCTCTAGAGGACAACATCCTTGGTAGAACCCAACCCAAGGCTTTGCATGGGAGAGCTGTTTTTACGTGCTGTTGAGTCAGCACAGACTCATAGTCGGCCCTTGAGCAGGTTGTTAGAAGCTGTAAACCACACGGGAGAAGAGTGCTCATCCTTCTCCTGAGGAGCGGCGAGTGGATTAGAACTGTATGCCTTTAGTTTCACAGCACCACCAGAACTCCCTGCTTGGTAGAGAGTCCATGAAAAAGAGAAAGACCCTCAACAAGACGGATGTGAGACAGTGGCTGTAACAATAACCTGGAAAATAGCAGCAATTCTAATTTCCTGTAACACTGGGCAGTATTTCCTTCTCTTGTCACTAGGAGTCACAATGATTGAATGGCACCTACCAGAGCAATATTAGACATACGAAACTGAGTTTAAATTGGCCCCATTGGAAAGTTCAGAGACCTTCATAAAATGGTCTGATAAAGACAGCTTATTTTTATGTTTTTAAATATTTCATTAAATAATGTGTAATATTCTAATCATTATTTATAGATATTTTTAAATAATATAAGCAATATTTGCTTATTCCTATACTGACTTGTTTTCCTGAATGCAGGCAGTGGCTGCTGTCAGGTACAGTGGAGTCACTGTCATCTCCTAGCAACCCTGCGTACAATGAATGAACTGCTGCCCAATCCTGCACTGTCCTCACAATCTCTGTGCTCAAGTCCATTGTTGCAGTCCATTTCACTCACATCACATCTTTCACTGGCCTTCTGCTTTTCCAAGCATGATGTCCTTTTCCAGCGACTGGTCCCGCTGGACCACATGCCCACAGTATGAGATGAAATCTCATCATCCCCGTCTCCAAGGGGTGCTCTAACTGCACCTGCTCCAAGACAGATTTGTCCATTGCATGTAGGGATGAAGAAATTAGCTTGTATTTCAGGAATAATAGTAAAAATCCCTGGATGCCCATCTGACCCAGGGAGGACAGCAGCAAGCACGGGCTGTGTTCTTCAGCTCTCTTGGCTGCCACAGCTCAGAGGTTCCCTTCAAGTCATGAAGGTCTTGTGATGGCCCAGCAGTATGAACTGTTAGCAACTTTAGCTCAAACTCCTCTTTTGGTCACAGCCACTTATATATACCTCATTGTAGCATTAATAAATCCTCTGCGCTCCAACAGCATTTAATCTCAACTATCAACTATTAACAAGTCAGTGTATCTTTCTGAAGGTTCATCTTCTCCATTCAATCAGGAAAAGTATTTTCACATACATGTAGCAACTATTTTGATCATATAAGTAAGGATCAAGCTTGGCAAGTTCAGGTACAGGTTTTGGTCGCCTCGGCCTCTCCAGTGTCCACATTTCTGCACTGCCAAAGGTGGGCTTTAAGATTTGGATCTTCTGTTCAGAATTCTCAATGGAAAGAAAATGACTTCTGACAAAAAAAGACTTGGTTTCTTCTACCTTAGAGGAACACAGGATGTTCGGAAATTTTGCCTCTGGAGCATAGAACTAGTATTCCATTTTCTACTTTTAGCAGAACCACTAAAGGACACCAGGTGGCAGCCTGAATCAAGCTAAAGAGCCAGCCCCTTCATCTTTGCGTCATAGAGTCGGCACCTTAGTTGTTTAACTAAACTCACTGTCTTCAAGTTGGAACCAATTCATTCATAATTGACTCTCCCTTGGTTGTAAATCACAAGGGAGGAACCACTGGTGGAGTCAAACCATGAGAGCACCACCTTTGGGTTGGCAGGGAAACTGCCACAGACTACACCACCAGAGCTGCCTTAAGTAAATTGATGTTCGGTGCCATCAATTTGGAACTGATGCAGGGCTGACTCCCGAGTGGCTTTCCAAAATCTGTAAATTGTATTGGAAATTGCACTGCCCATCTTTCTCTCACATTTAATAAACTAGGGGACAGAACTTTTAAGTCTTTTTATAAATGTTACACACATTTGAAATAACCAAGAACTCAATGTTGCTTTCAGACTCTCCTTCCCAAGCACCAGGCATTAGCTACCATTTGGTAATTCTGTATAAACAAGTCCTCTGCAGTCAAGTGGTCCAATAAATTCACAATCTGAAGTGAAGCTATGGTTTGGGGCAAGGGAAGATGAAGGGAGCTATCTTAAGGTCTAAAAAGAAAATACAACACTGATCAAAAAAGGGAGGATGAGAAAGGGTTTGGCAGAAAAACTAGCCAATCACTGTGGGAAGTTTGAGAATTGTTGATAACGGAGCCACAGGCTGGCAAGGTTCTACCAGCATCTTTTAACATGGAAGACAACTAGAAACATTACATGGCAAATGGCAGAACTGGAATGTGAACTCACGTTTCCACGTTCAGGTTGTCATACTGAGGCCCTGCCCAAGCCAGGCGGGCAGGTCAAAGGTTTTCAGGGACGTGTTGGTTAAGTTCCCAGCTTCCTTGGTTTTCCCCACACCATGATGCGTTTCACCCCATGCCACTGTAAGCAGCAGCTACAAGAGCTGTAACTCTTTTCACTGAATCAAACGGTTAACGACGTGGGAAAACCTTACTGGCTAGAGAGGTCACCTAAAAAGTGCTGGTAGCAGAATACAGATATAGGCTGATAGACAAAAGGTCCACTGTTCCAATCTACCAGCAGTGACATGGAAGAAAGGTGAGCAGCCTCCACCTGCTAAGATTTACAGCCTGGGAAGCCCACTGGAGGTCTGCTGTGAGCTGGGATCAACTCAGGGGCAGTGACTTCTGAGATCAGATGCCATGGGTATAGTTTTAATGAAACATTGTAAAGTGGCCTTGCTAAGCCACCCACGGCCCTAATGTTCTATAACGTCCAAACTCACTGAAGTCATTATTTTCCTCTAAAATTTTTTATCAAGACCTTTCCTGATAACAAGTGTATACAGAGCTTTCAGTAAGTTATTAAGAAAAAAATTAGTGAGATTTTGTAAGCTTAAATTTTTAAGAACAGCATGTAACCCAGTGCTCTATATCAGAAAAACATGCAAAGAAATACTAAATGTTTTACCTAAAAATGAGAATGAAAATTGTACAGAGCATCCAAAAGTGGAAATTCCCTTTGCAAAAATTAAATGTACCACAGGCGAGAGAGCGAGCTGACATTTCCTCTCCTTTCTTAAATTGCACAGAAGGGATCAGGTTAACAAGCGAACCTAAAAAACTTACTCAATAGAACTTAGATTAATGGTTTGATCAGAAGTAACTAGAAAATAATGTTTTTCCTTCATTTAGAGTAATGGAAATGGTGTCAGATATAACGTTTTAAGCGTCAATCTTCTCATCTATATGATGACAGTGAAAACAGAACTGATCAGCTCAGTTATTATTACAACTGCATACTGAAGGCTTTTGTTTTTTCTAACAGTCGCATAAAATAAAGTGTTCATTGGGTTATTATTTTTATACACTTAAATAATTTTATAATTAGTCCTGAACACTACTGCTCTTTTCCATTCCAAACTGAGGTACAGTTATGGTGAAAATGCTGAAGAGTTTAGAAGGAGTTGATTAGAAGCATTTTGACCTACGCATTCATAGACTGGAAGGTTTCTGAAAATTTCAGAAATTAAAATTTCAGTGTCTATATTTAAGGCTTCAAGGTAAAAGTGCTGAAAGCTGAAGGAAGGGAAGGTGAAGCAGGGGGAAAAAACACACGGAAAAAAACTCATATTCCATTTGGTTTTTTTTATTAGAAGAAATTGAGAATACAGCAAGTAGGGAAATCCCATGGTGAATGGAGCCATCACACAGATACCGTTCTGGAACCCAAATCATCTATGATCCCCAGAAATGTGCTTTGTGGCTTTAGCAATTTATAAAGGAGAGGGAGAGAAATACTGAAAAAGGCCACATTTAATGGTGAAAATGAAGTTGCAGAGGTCCAAACCAGCCTAAGGTCAAAAGAAAATTAAAAATCCGCACAGAGCAAGCAAGCCTCTGACCGCTGAGAGTAAGGCATTCAGGCGCCAACCTGGTGAGAGTTCTCAGCTAGCACTGTAAGACCAAGTGCACAGTGAGGCCGTTGGTAGTGAGTTGCACGTAGACGTATACACAGAAATGGGCACACCTGTGCCCACATACATACACACCCTAAAGAGGGAGATTTTTATTAGATTATGCATCAGTGATGTTATTTTCCTAAAGGTTTGTGCTATGCTGAACCAGATTCAACTCCTTCTTTAGAGTGTGGAGTAGCTGGGGCAAGACTGCTCCTTCTGCTGCTGTTGTTACAGGGCTGCACCTTTCACCCTGGGTCCCAAAGTGCATGACCGAAGAGCAAGTCTGGCTTCTGATATGTGCTGTTGCTCCCATGAAACTAAGTGAGCTTCCTTCCAGATGGCCACTGTCCTGCTGAACTCTGTCTCCTCAGAGGGATTAATACTGCTCTTAGTCGGGTACTGCGCCAGTCCACCCAGAGTGTTCTGCTCAGTCTACCTAGCACCCAGGGCAGTGACCCTTATCCAGAACAAAAATACTCATAAATTCTTCCTAACTTCCCCTATGAATGCTTTCTTCCTGGTTCCCAGATTTTGCTGGAGATTAGAAGGGGAGATTTAGGACAAAAAGAACCCAGAAAATTCTATACTAAATAAACAAATCCTTCTTATATTCCCACTCATTCAGCCCCCACGCTTCGGGTGCCAATGTCTGATTTTAATACTCAAAATCCCCAGGATGTAACTTAATCATCAGAAGTCTAAGAAGATGGTAAACTAAGTCTCAGTGCTGTTTTAGCTGCCTGTCTGTGAACCAAGATCAGAATTCTCTGAACCGGAGCCATACTCCACCTCACTCCCTGATAAAATAGATTATCCCATGGGAAGTGAGGCATCTTTTTTTCTTAGCAGTACTTCCAAGACATGGCCTTAAGAATTCTATCAAACAAAATTTTATGATTTGTTTGGGAGAGACTGTAAATGAATTCAGGTCACTGTAGCCAGAACAATGTTAAGATCCATGTGCCTTATTTCTAGGTGCTTGAAATGGTACAGTTCAGCAAGTTTCCTTTCATCATCATCTTCTTTTTGGCATTTAAACTTTTATTCTTTCTGAAGTTCTACATTGTATTTTCAGTAATCAGGGCTCTGTCAAATGGCACTTTTATGATCAGGTTTTGTGAAACAGCTATCCATGATAAGGATTTTTCCTTAAGGTTGAACTTCTTTCAAGAATTTCCTACAGTATCAAAATGGTAGTTTGAATCTTAATGTTCAATATTTAATCCTTATTTTCTCCTTTTAAAATGCATTACTTGGTCAGAAACTCTTTAGTGCCTTTGTAAACTTTTATGCATATGTATTTATACTCTCAAGTAAATTGTTATACTGTATTTGAATGAATGGTGAAATTTATTTGCTATTAGTATCATGTGCCCTAATAATATTGTAAAGAGCATGCCTTTATTAAATGTGGTCAGCATCAGGGGAAAAAAAAAGAATTCTATCAAACTATCTGGCAACAACCCACAACTTCCTACCATGCTATCTATGTCACATCAACAACTCCACAGTGGGTATTGGACAATTCCACTGGTTTTCTTGTTCAAGGAAACTCATGGAGTGTCTGTCACACTAAATTCCTTAGACAGTATACCGGAGGTGAAACTCATCTGTCCTAAAGGAATGGTTCTCCAAAGCTGTGCAAATAAGCTCAAGAGGCACCTGGACAAGTCACAATGCCTTTTGTGGCTGCCTCCATGCCAAGTATGATATCAAGGAAGTATCAATTTCTATTCCCAGGAAGAAGTGTAGGCAGGGAGGTGAATTTATAGCTGAAAATTTACAGCATTCCAGAGCTCTACAGTGAAGATGTAGAAAACTGGCACAACTCTTCAGAGATCAGAATTACTACAAAATTCAACAGGATACCAGGAAGTAATCAAGTCAACCTCCGTGCTATCACTGCCCCTTAAATGCCAGCATAACTGACCTTCCCACATAGGTGGCTCCACTCCCTAGACAGGATCTAGAAAACGAGCCTATCCTCAAATGGCACCTTAACCAGATCCTCATCATTTTCCAACCTGTTAGCCCTTCACGTGCTGCTTCCACTAAGAAAACACATACTGCTTCCCTCTACCTCACAACTCCCAACGACCTAAGGCGTGAGAGTGATTATGTGTCACTGGACTGGGGCTATATCCTTTGCCCAACTAGGGTCCAAGGTATACCAGCCTTTAGAAGGCACCTTGGTGAACCAAGGCATTATACATTCTGGGGCTATTACCTGATCCTCCTCCAGTTACTTTGTGCAAAATTGAAACAGTGTGTGGTACTTGCATGTTTCATTCTATACAAAAATGTTCCCTCCCTCCCCTTTCCCTATGTTTTAAACATTTATATAAATTCTTATTTAAACAGTAAGTTAGAAATCTTATTTACATTAATTTCTTTGTTCTCTCAAAAGAGGATCTAAAATCATACTCCCACCCCTTAATATGATATAAATGTTCACCTAAACTGGTTTGTATTATTGTTTTAAGGAGAGAGAAAGGGAGAAAAAAAATAGAACCACCAGCTAAACTGTTTCCCCATCTCCTACAAATAAATATGATACAGATCAGAAGCCAGTTTGCCAAAGGTCTTGCACAGCCCTCAATTAGTAGATCCCAAGATAAAGTCAGAGTTTGGGCCATTTTCTCCTTTTCTCCAAACTGATGCACTCCATCCTTTGAGGTATGATTTATTTATTTTGTTTGTTTGTTTTCTCTTCTCAGTCATGAACCACGTAGAGCCCCCGGGACATCACAAAGCCCACGAGGCTGTTAAAGTTAGGGGGCTCCTCTGGTACTGGCATCATTGACCAGTAAGTGAGGTCTACAAGGCTCTCAGGTCTGGCTCAGGGTCAGTCCCTGACCACCGCTAGGTTTCACAGTGCATCCTCTTCACTGCAGCCCCCGCCAATCATGAAACGGAACTCCTGGAGGTTTGAGACACCATGGAAATGAACAAAAGCTCCAGCAACCACAAAGATGTGAAACAGCTGATGAGAGTGAAACTGGAGACAAAAAAAAAGGGGGGGGAATCCAAGTATTATTAAAATGTTTGCTGAAGATTCTTAAGGATCATTTTAGTCTGGTAATGCGAAGCTAAGGGCAGGAAATGGATGGGACAGAGGTCAAGTTCAAGGTGTGCACAGATCCTGGAGACATCCATTAGGTAGTATCACATTCTGCAGAGTTAGAAATCCTCTGTCCTCCAAGAAATCAAGGTGCTGCTGCTAAACTCTAGGCATGAAAATAAAACTCTCACCACTGAAGTAGCTGGTGAGCTCAGAGGCAAAAGGCATATAAACAGAATCTCTTTCTGACAGACCACAAAGAATTCAAGGAGACCCTGATGCCTAGTAGTGGGCTACAGCTTTGACACACAAGTGTTTTCATATTTTGCTTAAGGAAAGTTTTGCCCACTACATGAACAAAAATGCCCTGGAGTCATTTAAATGTTGCTATCTGTTAATAAAGACGTTTTTCCAGGATTGAGTGGAAGGTGAATATAAACGGTTTTTACAGTCTCGTGTAGCACTGCTGTTGCTATGTACCCTTAAGTTGGAATTAAATCCTAACTGACCCTCCAGAAAGTTTTCAAAGGCAGTAAATTGCATAAGAAGAGACTGTACTAATATTCTGGAATTACATTCATTATATACTAACATGAACACTATGAAAAGCAGCACTTTTTTCCCTTTTTTTATTAATTTAGTTTATTTTTCATTTCAAAGAACATCTACAGAGATTTTGGAATTCCATTCATTCATTGTTACACCCTTCTCCCGCATAACCCCCCCGCCCCCCCCCCGTTTGCTCCTCTCCTTGAAAAGCAAAAGAAAAACTCTCTCATTGGTACACAATCCCCCCCGCACCTCCCCAAACCCCACCCCGTACCCCCAAATATAATCCACTCTGCAACCCTCATTGCATACTCCTACGATAAAAATAATGCCCTAAAATATAATACTTTTAGACTATTCCCTCCCCCATAGACTTCAATGCCATAAACATATTTCATCCAGTTTTTCTCAGTCTTACCCCCACCCCAATGCCAGCCTCATTCTACAACAGTGGCACCATATAGCATTTGTCCCTTTGTGACTGAGATACCTCATTCAGAAAAGCAGCACTTTTAAGATCTCAGGTCAGAAGCTGGTCTACAAGCATCTGACATTTCTGATTTTATCTTTTTTGTTGAATGTTATTTTACGTCCAAGCAGGAAATAATCAACGGCACCAAATATCCCTTCAAAACTTATACTATTGTCTCAAAATTCTCATTTTGAGAATAGTCTCCAAGTGCAGAGAGAAAACAGTATTTACCAAAGGTAAGACATTAATTTTAGTAGTGCAAACCAGAATAAAAAAAAAAAATTAAATCCCAGAGATTTTTCCTAGGAAGTCAGCAGAAATTAATAAAATGGGGATAACAACATTATTATCTGTTAAATTGTGTATTGAGGCAACTGCAGAAAGCTAAATTGACTAATTTTAAGCTCAAAATACTGCCTCAATTCAGCATAATCTTTATTTAACAGAGGGTTACATTATAGGGATCAGATAATCTGTTTAGTCCATAATAATCAGCAAGAGACAATATAATTCAAAAGGTCAGATTTCCCATTAAACAGCATTCCTATTCTCTACTGTTGAAATGTATTATTGTCCTCTTAGTTACACAATTGCCTATGAGTCCTTAGTAGCTTTTTTTTAGTCTACCTTCCTTCTTTCTTAACATTAACAGCAATACAGCTACCTCTACACCTCTTCTTCCAAACACACACACACACACACACACACGGAATTTGCTATAAAAAAGATCTTGGTAAAAATCTGGTCCATCAAGATTAATTCAGAATGAGAATTTTTCTCACTTCAAAATAAAAAAACTGAGGTAAAGAAAAATGTTTGCCCATGTAGAATAGAAAGTAGAGACTTAGATGATCTGATTCAAAATCCAGTTCCACCACTTAATAGTTGTGTACCCTTGTGTTAGCTAACCTAACTGCCTTAAATTTTAGTTTGCAGCATGCTTGTGTCATCTGCATAACATAGGTTATTGTTGTTGACCTTCCTTCAGTCTTGATCACATGTACTCTTATTCATATAGTCCAGCTTCTTGAACTATTTGTTTAGCACATATATTAATAGATATTTTCAAAAAATAAAATCCTGGCTTACATAGTTCCTGATTTAAAGAAACAAAAACTTTTAGTTTGCTAAACCACAAAATAAAGTCAACGACAGTCATTATCTCTTATAAGACAACCACACTAAATGAAGTAAACACACTCATTACTCTTACCAGTGCTCAATGAATGCTAGTCATTATTTTCCATCTTGTCCAGAGAAATACAGCTTATTAAACACACAGTTATTAGTACTAGAATACAAGTATCTTAACTTCGAGTCTTAAACTTTTCCAATTACATCACTTCTCTGTCTATCAACAGTCTACTAATAGATGTGCAAGCACACTTAATCACCCCTGTTTACACTTACCCAGATGTCACACTTGCCAGGAAAGAATCGTTCAGGAATCCGGGCAGCATACAAGGCAGCTCCCGTGATATAGAGGCTGGCCATCAGCATCAACCAGCCTATTTGCCCTATAGTGGCAGCTTTCAGGAACCCCTCCGCGATGACATAGTGCAAGGTAGGAATGATTCCACTCAGGCCTAGGCCCAAAAACACTCCTAGAAACCACAAAATTAAAATAAAGCAAAAATATAAGAGAGAAATGTGGAGAGGAAAATTACTGTAATATAGAACCATTAACTCTGAAACCTTAATTTTTCAAAGTAGGATACCACATCGGCTTCCTGTCTGAAAGAAAAAGGGTTCTTCAAACTCTGGGACACTCAAAATACAGCAGCTATGTTCTAACAGATCTATTTACAAATGCAAAGAGCCTCCTGCTGGGAGAGATTTGGCTGAACAACTCAGAAGTCCTCAAAGGGTTTAGAACTCTATTGTGAAGTGTTTTCCTCAAGGACAGTCCAGGAGTTTAAAACTCCCTTAATGCAGCCTCTTTACAGACACAGATTACAATAAAAAGCAATTTTACGTCTTTCATCTTCTATTTAAAGCAAATGACCCTGGGAAGGCAGATAAATGTGAGCGGGTAGAGGTAACTTGAGGTGCTACTATACTTTTAATAGTAATCTAAATCTATGGCCTGTAATTGGGCACTTAAAAGAACAATTTTTAATGTTTTGAAAAACAGACCAACTTGGGCTGGGGTGAAGTAAATACTGTAATGAATAAGATAACAAATAGAATGAGAAGTATGTGATTTCGAAAGCTTCACAGTCTTAGTACCTGAGCCCAAAAAATAGCAGTCATCTAAAACAGTGTTTATAAATGTCCAGAAGTGACCATAGTTATAAGATAAAAAAAGCAAGTTTCAACAGAGTTTCTTTCTTTTCTTTTCTCTTTTTAATAAAATCAAGTAGAAAATACAATATTATATTATTACAAGTAGAGGGTTTATTCATTTAATTTCACTTCATGAAATATTTGTAATTTACATAAACCTCTATATACTTTGAGTTGCAATAGAAAATGTAAGGATTTTAAAACTCTAAAAGCTACTAGTTTTTTAAAAAATCTGAAACCTGTCTGAAAAAGCAACACAGAGTTTAACAGTCACTGTTCCTGGCTTTTTACATAAAATTAAGAATGATTTGCAAAACAAGTTGTCACTTGGTAAATTTTCTCAGCACACAAGGAGCCTATATTATACTTGTTCTTGATATTACCAAATAATGCTGCTCATGTGCAAATATAACAACATACATATGTGCACACACACGCATGCTCATAAGAAAATGGGATTCTAAAAGAGAAGACAGTGAAGTGAAAATGTTGGTATCACAGATAAAAACTAAGCATAAATAAAAATTAATTGATACTTCACTTGGGGGGTTGGGCATAAGTTGGAAGCTGCTCAAAAGTCGAATAGAAACTCCTCTCAAGGAAAATCACCATGAACTTGTTCATTCACTTGCCCTTTTCCTCTGTGTGTTAACAAACGTTTCCAACAGTCTTTTTTCTTATTCCTTACGTCAAAGACTCTGGAATGTGGTTCTTCTGATGTGGGAGCTCTGGTGGCCTAGACCACAGGAAGTTATTCTGCCAAACCATAGGCCATGCCTCTCTGGCAATTAGAATTTACCAGCAACTCCTAAGGAGAAAGATGGGCAATCTCCTCCTATAAGGAGTCCTCACTTTATGAGCCAAAAAATATCTTTCTGCTAATTTGATGCTCCTTCAAAGAGCCTCCACTGAGGGAGTTTTACTTTCTATATGATCTCCAGTTCAACAGGCATCAACTTAAATATAAAAAGTCGCTTTAGCTTTACATCAGAATAATGCCTACTTTGTTGTTGTTAAGTGCCACTGAGTCGTAGACGACTCATAGCGACCCTATGAATGAAAGACCTGAACATTTTGGTAACTTTCATTCTGGAGACAAGCCATTTTGGAAGTACATGCCACTCCTGCTTCCAAGCCTGTTTTAATCAGGGAGCGCCAACAAACACTGTCCGTCATGCGTAACCATTATCGCATTTGGCACATCAGTGTCACAGTGTCACAGCATCACAGCAACCATGAATTACCTCTGTACAGCAAATGGACAGACCAGGGCTATACCACTTAGAAGTGTGTTTGACAAAAAACAATTTAAACCAGGCCCGAGGGCCATAGATTAAAATCACCCACCTTTGGCATGGTAGCATAACTTTCTGTCCACTAGGCCAACATAGCTCTCTCTATAATTAGTATCAAAGGTTGAAATCTTAATTATAGAAGGAGATACATATTTTAAAATAAAAATATAAGCTGAAACAAAACTGACACCAAACACTATAAAAATACATTCTGACTTGAGAGTAAAGTAATAATTTATTTTGCAAAGGTTTCAGAGCCACTGCCTTATGGACACTTGCCATTGCTGTTTACCATTGAGACAGAATGAATTTATAGGTGACCCTTTGGCGTGTTTTCAAATGCTGAAAATCACACAAGAGGAGATTCACACCTTTCTCCAAATGAGCTACTCGTATATTTGAACATCATGCCTTTGGGTTGACAACGAAACTAAGCCACCAGAGCTCCTTTATGAACAATTAGAAGGTCATAAACGCAAAAACATATTGACCAAATCTATCAACACAACTCATCATTCTCCCTCCATCACAGTATTTACAACAACTAATAAGCATCAATACATTAAAGGGCCCGGAAGACAAAAATTATAATTTATCAATCTTAAATAGCTTAACTACATCATTACAAAGAGCATAATGCTTGACAAATAAATGATCACTAATCAGATGTCCAATGCGAAACCTCCACATCTCTTACCTGCTCTTACTCCCCGATACTCAGGAGTAGCAAACATGTCCCACTGGGAGACGATAATGGCTGCAATGCCCAGCACACAGATGACAATCAAATAGATGAAGCAAGGTTGTGGGTTACAGTAGAAAGAATAATAAAGCCAAGGAACAAAACTTCCCATAATCAAAAGAGCAATACCAGAATAGTCCAGTCTAGGATTTAAAAACAAAAAATCCATTTAGTGCTACAAATTATAATCACACATTCCCAATTAACTCCTCATGATGTTAACTATTGATAGTACTTAAGAGGTGAACTGGATTGCTTGCTTTCATTTAAGTAATAATAATAAAACATCCTTCCCCATTAAATACTGTCAAGAATTCTGTCAGTCTTCTAAATGTTTTCCCTAACCTAGTAACTAAATCGTTAATTAAAATACAGGTTTTTGAAACCTACAGCATCCCTTTTCAGCAGGAAGTAGCTAAGAGAATACACTGTCCCCTTTTCCTTATGAATCAGGGTGAAATCTCTCTCAGGGAGGAGTGATAGGGAATGGCAAAGGATACACTGACAAAGGAGATTAATCAGAACTGGTCTTGACAGGCACTGTGGCAATGTGTCAATTAAAACAGACTTTCAAAGAATATTCAACCGGAATCCTTCTGATCATATGGAGATTTTTGAAAGTATTTCTTTAGGTTTATTATGTTTAATTTGTTTGTTTGTGTATAAAGGATGCTCATCTAGATGATAACATAATTATGATAAAAACAAAAGGGAGGAAATATGGGAAGCCAATACTAAATATTTGTAATAAACTGAATGCTATTTAAAAAATAAATAAATAAATAAATAAATAAAAACAGGGAAAAAATGCCGGTTTTACAGATACTTACTTAGAGAAGAGTCGGGAGACCCCTTCTGAGTGGCAGTAGACTGTGTGGAAGAGCCATGAAAAAGAAAGGCAGAGAATGGCTCCCAAGAAGAATAATCCAAAGACAACTTTCTCTTGCAGAGGGGCCACAAAGGAGATGTTTGGACGAAACATATAAAAGATCCCCAGGCACAAGAAGAATACACAACCTAAGAAAGAAATATATAGGCGGGATAAAGATCATCCTTTGAAGAGATATATATTATGCTTTCAATTGTTGACAAAGCCAAAACCCAAACCTGTGGCTGTCAGAAAAATGCTGATTCTTGCTGTTGTTAGGTGACATCAAGTCGACTCCAACTAATCGCAGTGAAACAATGTCCAACAGATGGAAATCTTGAGCTATTCCGCACACCATCCCCACAATCTCTGTTGAGTTTATGCCTATCTTACTGTTGCAGTCAAAGTGTCAATTTAGCTTATACAGGGTCATCTTCTTCATTGATAAATTACTTTTCAAAGCCTGGTATCTTTTTCCAAGGACTGGTCCCTCCAATGTTTCACTCTCTATACCTCTAAGAAGATTCTTTGAAAAATCTACTTTGAAGACAAATGTATTTGTTCTTCTGCTAATCTATTAATAACACCTGAATTAGAAGTTCCAGGAGAATACATTTTCCAACATTGTGCTAACTTGCTAGATGCTGCCGAGTCAAGTATAATCCATAGCAACTCTATGAATAACAGATCTGAACTCTATCCTATCCTGTGCCATTCTCACACTTTCTGACACACTCGCACCCATTGCAGGAGTCACTGTGTCAATTCATGGGCTGAGAGTCTTCAGCTCTTTCCAAGTATGATGTCCCTCTCCAAGGAAGAGCTGTACTGTCATAACCTGTGGGTTGTTGTGATACTGAAAGCTACTATGTCAAATGTCACAAGTGTCACTCATGACGGACAGGTTTTAGTACAGCTCCCAGATTAAGACTAGGAAGCAGGATTTGCCATGCACTTCTTAAACAGCAGGCCTCTGAAAAATGTAGAAATCATAGAGGAACCTGTATAGTTAAGAGTAATTAGAAGGAGAGCCCAGATTGGAAGTCAATCAAAATGAGAGAAAATAATGGTAAATATCCTGAACAGAATAATTACAATGGAATCCTTATAGTGGAGCTAACAATAAACTTCATTTGATTCTCTATTCTACTCTCACTGTACAACTAATCAGGAAATTGGAGCAAAGCAAAATCAAATGTGAGACAGCAAATGCAGGTCAAATGTCAAGCCACTAATTACTTGGGCTTTATGTATGGTTGTGCAGCCTACTGCCATCATATAATTCCAAAACATTTCTATCATCCCAAAAAGAAATGCTGCACTGACACCATTAGCAATAACCATATTGTCTCTCCCCTTATCCCTTGGCAACCACTAACCTTTCTAATGCTATAAATTTCTGGGTATTTAGCATAAAGTGGCAGCATACAACGTGGGCTCTTTTATGTGTGGCTTCTTTTACTTTTCATATTTTTAAGATCCATCCATGTTGTAGTATATGTTGTTTGGTGCCCTCAAGTCAAGTATGACTCCGGAACCTATTTATAAACCACAGATCTGAACCCTGTCCTATCCTGTGCATTGCTCATAATTTGACACATTTGAACTCATTGCTGCAGTCATTGTATCAACTGATTTGGTTGAGGGTCTTTCTCTCTTTTGCCAACCCTCGACCTTTCTAAGCATAATGTCCCTCTCTAAGGAATAGCCCCTCTTACCATTCCTAAAGTAGGTGAGACAAAACTTTGTCATCTTTGCCTCCAGGGAGTACTCTAGCTATACTTTCTCCAAGATATATTTTGTTTCTTTTGCAGTCCATGGGATGTTCAGTACTCGTTTTCAACAGCACAATTCAATGGCATCAATTCTTTTTCTGTCATCCTTAATCACTGTCCAGTTCTCAGATGTATAGCAAGTGAATGAAAAGACCTTGACCTGAATCAGGAACACCAGCCATCAAACTATTATCATTGTTCCTCAGTAATTCAGAGAGGCCTCTGACAGTGGACTTGCCCAATGCAATATGTCTACTGATCTCCTTTTGCTAGTACCAAGGATGCTGATTGTAGATTCAAGTTAAAATGAAATCCTTGCCAATTTCAATCTTTTCACCATCTATCACCATGTTGCTTAGTGGTCAGTAATGAGAATTATAGTTCTCTTGATGTTGAGATGTAATCCATATTGAAGGATGTAGTTTGATTTCATAAGAACATACTTAAGTATGCTGAGATTTCCATTCTTCTCAATACAAGGCATAATTTGTTAATGATCGACACAGTTAAATGCCTTATCAGAGTAAATTAAAGCACAAATAGACATTCTTCTGGTATTCTCTGCTTTCAGCCAGGATCCACACAACATTAGCAATGACATCCCTGGACAGAACTAAGGCAAGACTTTGTGTGGTTGAATTTTCTACAATGATGACTTCATTGCAAATACTTTTTTAATTAGAAAAACAACAAAACACAAATCGCGACTCTGTTCTCACCTGATAGATTACACAAGAGTCAGACTGACTACACCTTTGAAAAGAATCACTGGAGAAGCTCAATACCAGCAGTCAGATCCAGGCTAGGTGCTAACTGTGGAAAAGATATCACTCACTCATGTGTAAACTCAAATTTAAGCTGAAGAAAATGAAAACAAGTTCACAAGAACCAAAATACAACCTTGAATCTATCTCATCTGAATTTAAAAATCAACTTAAGAGGTTTGAAGCACTGATAAATAATACACCAATGATCAAAGACAAGATGAGTTGTGGGATGATATCCATGAAGAGTGTCAAAGGTCATTACAAAAAATAGAGAAAAAAAGAAAAAATAAATAAAAAATAGATGTTGGAAGATACTCTGAAAATTGTGTGAGGGTGCTGAGAAGCCAAAACAAAGGGAAGTAAAAAGAAGTAAAAGAGCTGAACAAAAGATTCTGACGAGCAGCTTGAGACAACAAAACAAAGTATTATAATGTAATGTGCTGAGAGCTAGAATTGAATAATAAAAAGGGAAGAATTCGCTTGGCATTTCTCAAAGTGAAAGACCCGTAAAACAAATTCAAGCCTCAAGTTGCAATACTGAGAGATGCCATAGGCCATATCTTAAATGATCAAAAGAAGATGGAGAAAATACAGTGTTATTACACCAAAAAGAACTGGCTGATACTGAAATACTTCAGAAGTAGCTTATTATCAAAAGCCAATGGGAATGAAAGAAGAAGTTTAAGCTTCACTGAAGACATTGGCAAAAAATAAAGCCCCAGGAATTGATGGGACACCAACAGACATGTTTCAACTAACATATGCAGCCCCGGATGTGCTTCCCAGTTTATGCCAGGAAATTTGGAGGGCAGCTGCCTGGTTGACTATGAGATCTGTATTTGTTCCCATTCCCAAGAAACGTGATCTAACAGAAGGTGGATATTATCGAACAGTATCATTAAGACTTCATGTTAGCAAAATATTGAGGAAGATAATCCAAAAACAGCTAGAATAGTACACCAAATGAAAACTGATAGAAGTTCAAGAAGGCTTTAGAAGAGGCTGTGACACCAAGCGTAACACTGTTGATGTCAGATGGATCCTGACTGTTGTAGCGTATCAGTACTTTATTCCTTTTTATGGCTAATTTTCCATTATATGGATAAACCATATTTTGTTTAATCATTACTTATTTGTGAACATTTGGGTTGTTTCTACTTTGTAGCTATTATAAAGAATGCTGTTTTGAACATCTGCATATACATCTGCATGAACTTGTAACTACTGGATATGCAACTAGAAATTAACCTCCTAGGTCATATAGTAGTTTTCTGTTTAACTTTCTGAGCAACTGCTGAGTGTCCTCCACAGGAGCTACACCCTTTATCACTAACAACGTACAAAGGTTTCAACTCCTTCACATCGCTCCAATGCTTGTTATTTTCTGTTTTCTTACTATGACATACTGCTGGGGGTGAAAAGGTATCTCACTGTAGTCTTGGTTTGCATTTCCTTAGTGACTAATGATGAATGAGCTTTTTTTAAAGTAGGAAATATGCTTTTGTAATGATTGAATTTTAACAATTCTCTATACATAGGGTCGCTATGAGTTGCAGGCAACTTGACGGCACATAACAACAACAACATATATTCTTGATTGTTGTTAGGTGCTGCTGAGTTGACTATGATTCACAGTGATCCTACGAACAAGCTGGAACCTTGCTTGCCCTATCATGAGCCATCTTCATCATCTCTGCCATGCTTTACCCCATGGTCAAATCATCTTGCTGAGATATTCTGGATAGTATGCCCTTATTAAGGAACCCTGGTGGCCTAATGGCCAGAAGCTCACCGAAAGCCTAAAGGCACACAATTGGAGGCCGCCAGCTGCTCTGAAAGAAAAAGATGGGGAATCTCCTCCCATGTGATTAACTGCTCTGAAAAACCCGTTGAAGGGTTAGCTATGGGTCAGTTCTGACTCTACAGTACACAACAATGCTCTTATTAGAGAAACAGTATGCAAATATTTTCTCCCAGTGTGTGAGTTGTCGTGCTGGGGTTTGTTTGGAAGATTTTTGTTTCCCTTTTGGTTTTTTCTCTATATTTTTATATCATTTAATTTCTTTTTTCCACACCAGCTTTGGTTACTTGCCTTTTAAGAATCTGTTGCCTAGTCCAAGGCCACAAAGATTTACATCAAAGTTTTCTTCTAAGAGTTTATGAGAGTTGAGTTACTTTTCTATATAGTATTAGGCTAAGTTTAATTGCATTCTTCTGCATCGGGACAATCCAATGATTTCAGTGGACCACTGTATCTTTCTCCTGTTGTATTCTTTAATAACCATTCATGATTTTAGGAGGCAGAGGCGAGCTAACAGATCATATTTTATTTCAAGACAAATGTAAATTTAACTATCAATATTCAAAGTAATTACCCCAACCAAGAAGAATTGCACAGAGAATGTATATAAGCTGTTCATTCTGTACAGTGAATTTTCTGAACCTCTCAAAAAAAAAAAATATTCAAAGTAATGACTTTTAAGTATGCTTATTTATTTTAAAATCAGCTTAACTAGCTACTTTCAATGTTCAAGAAAATATACCACTTTTTCAAAGAAAACTTTTTCTTCACTGGGCTCAAAGACACTGATTCCTAATAACCTAACAGAAAAACAGGAGCTAGCAATAATAAAACCGTAACACCAACTAGAATAGCCACAGAGCAAACCTGAGAGAATTTACATTAGGACTTCAGAAAGCAAAATGGTAAAACCTAAACAGATTTCTTTTTTAACACGTTCTGTCTTTATCCCGAAATACATGAAAATAAAAAGGAGTAAGGTGAATGACCATTCATTACACAGTCAATATAATATACCTAAGAGATGTGTCCAAATGTTGCCTGTCTCCGTGTGTATTCTGAAAATGCTCTTAAAACAGGCCCGGAAAGAAGGCATGGGGGGCCGGTGTCCATGTAAAAGGAAGTCGTTATCCTTGAGCCAGTCTGGTAGGACATCATGAGGGATTACTCGCCATCGACCTTCCCACACCTGGAAGGAGAAAATATTATCAAACACCTTTGTGGCTTTAATTGTCAAATCAAAAACACTGGTCTCAAACAACTGAGTCTTAACCACATTATTTTAAAGTAGGAAAAGTGATTGATTTTTTAAAAAAGACAAATACATTTGAAAAGTATTTCCTATATTCTTCAGTATGTCCAATATTCTGAGGCTTAAAAAAAACAGACTGATGAAAGAGGTATTTTTTAAATAATAACGTAAAGAACAGGAAACCTGAACACGCTACAGAATATACCTAGTGGAGTGGTTTCGAGTTTTGTTTCAATCTAGCTAAAAATAGAGTGAGGAATCCTCACTCAGCTGCTTCTCTTATTCTCCAGAACAAACTTACCTCTGAAGAAAACTGTATAATACATATGATTGTTTTTATATTTTAAACTCCTGTTGCAGAAAAATTACTACTGCACATACAGCATCACACATTTCACCTTTTGGCTAAAATCTCTTTCCCCATCACTACTCTTTTTTCCCATCATAGTAAATACAATGAAGTAGAAAAGAGCACAGGAGTCTGAACTCCTAAGTATCACGATCATGATTTTGATTAATCATAAAATCTGAGCCTTAGTTTCCTCATTTATAAAGTGAGGATGGATAAAAGAACTTTAATTAATTCATAAAGAAGGGTCAAGTAAGATAGAATGAAGTACTTCATAAATGCACTAATAATCCTAAGCATCTACCCCAAGAACAGTCTAGAATTCTGACCATCCACAGATGCTATCGCTTGCCATAAAGTTAGTTAATTCATCACCCTTGTCATGCTGACAAGATGGCAAAGATGCTTATAGGTATTTCCCTCCTTAAAAAGTTTTTCAATCTCTGTGTCATGCTTATGGGGGGGAAAAAAAAACAAAACAGTAACACTCACTGCTGTCCAGCTGGTTCCAACTCACATCATAAATCAAGGATCACTAATCCTGAACAAACCTGTTTTCACTAGCAAGAAAGGTATGAAGGAAAAAGCCAGGTCTATCTTGCAAGCTAATCATGTGCTCTCAGCAATCCTTCAGTATAATACTCTATGAAACAAGAATTCAAGCTACAAATCAACAAACTGATCTCTACCCTATAACCCCTATAAGTCTTGTGATAAACACAACTAAGCCACAGAAACTGAACTGACTCTCTGCTATTACTCATCAAGTAATGACTGTGCCCATTACTCACACTCCATACTTTCCAGTTCTTTACTCACTTTTTTTTTTAAAAGACCTAATCCTCAGTTTACTATTTCCTCTCTGGTGGTTTAGTGAGTAAGGAAGGAAGGAGCTGTGCTGCCAACCCAAAGGCTTGTGGTTAGAATCCATTAGCTGCTCTGTGGGAGAGAGATGAGCAATGGCCTCCAGTGTGATTTACTGCCTCAGAAAATCTGCTGGAGCGTCAGCTCTGAGTCAAACAGCATATAACAAACACTATCTCCAAAGGAAGTGAGGATTAGCTATTTAAAACAAATGGCGGGGACCTAACAGCAATAAAAACACCCTATTAAGGGGCCTAATCCATAGGAGTTGTACTGCTAACCAAAAGGCTCTGGCTAGTTCAAATATGCTAGCTGCTCCACAGGAGATATAAGGATAATCAATGTCTTATGTAACTTACAGCCTTGGAAACCCAATGAAGTTATGAATCAGCAACTCAGCAGCAATGAAAACAACCTATTAAAACAGGCACACTTTCTTATTTCAAACATCCTATTAAAATATTAAGATGTATGAAAATATTTTCTTTTGCCCCAGCTCCCTACCTTTGCTGGAACTAATCTGGCCATTGCGTGCTTGCTCTTAACACACAATAAAATAATACCAAAAGATTAATCTAGATCTCTAGTGCTTTTACTGTTATTGCTACTGTGTGCCACTGAGTCAGAATCCACTAACAGCTGACCCTCCACTAGGGTTTTAGAGGCTGTAAACTGAATGGGAGGAGACTGTCTTTACTAGCTAGCCTTTGGGTTAGCAGCATACTTCTTACTTAGCAGACCACCATCCACTTACAAAAATACTTGTAGTTTCATGAGCTCTGTCACAGTCCTTTCTGGATAAAAACAAAGTACTGCTTTGTTTTTTGGTTTGTTTTTTTTTTTTTTAAGTACCTAAAGATTGGATTTCTTTTCACCCAATATGAACTTGGGGGAAAAAATCATTATTGTTCAGATTAACCTTACACAATGCTATTATTTGGAGAGAATTTTATTTTCTAAGAGGGAGAACAAAATTAAAACAATTTTAACATCCTTGAGGCAGGTCACAATGTACAAATAGCTGGCCTCTATGTAACAAAATTGATATTATACACTGCAAAAAATAGTAAAATAAACATGTGAATGAAGGATAGTGTAAAGCACAATGCATACTAATTTTATAGTCAAAGAATTATGCTTTGTTTAAATATATTCATGTCTTTACTGTCAGAGTGATTTCCCTTCACTGCTCTGGAAATATTCTATTCTTAAGACTTAGATAAGCAGTTGGACTTTAATGATTATACTACACACATTCAACTCACACGGCAACCTCATTCTCAACATTAAGAGTCATGTTGTTGTGTGTTACTGTGTTCCACTGAGTCAGAACCGACCCATAGCTGATCCTCCAGTGGATTTTTAGAGGCAGTAAATCCAATTACACAGGAGGAAACTGCCCATTGTTCACCCACAGAGCACCTGGGGGAATTGAAACCCATGTCTTTGAGATTGCAGTACATCTTATTACCACCAGGCCACCATATAGCTGGCAAAAGCAAGCATATATAGGTATCCGTCCCCTTACTCTACTTCCTGGAGGAAAAAAAAATAAGATCTTAACTTAGCCAAAGCCTTATTTATAAACTCAACAAAGACACTACCTAAACTGAACATCTTAGCAAGTAATGGCTTTTCACTAGACTATAAAATGCACAACAGATTGGAAAACTTAAACAATAAAAGCAACTACTCACATCCGGGTGGGTGTGTCGGAGACTGTGAGTGGCACAGGACAAAGCAGGGTTTTAGGGCTATAGTACATAGGGTCGCGGTGAGTCACAAGTGACTCAACGGCACAAAACAACAACAATAAGTCACAGCACATCGCCTATTTCTCTACTGGCCTTGCTATGCTGGTAAAATATTGAAGGCTAGGAAAGGAGAGATGAAGATTAAATTTGGAAACTCTTAAAACTAAATTAGTTGTAACCCTACAAGAGTATCTTTTCAAAAAAGCAAACTACATCAACAAGGCCATGACACATCTTGTTTTAAACTATTTCTCAATCTATCAGAATCCTGGTGTCAGTAGACATGGCTTTTTGTCAAGTACCGTCAAGATGCACTGATCCAGAAGGCTGGCCCAAAACGATCTACCTACATGTTTCTTCATCCTTCTTTCATAGGCAAATTGACAGGGGATAAAGGAATGGTTAAACTTCACTCATTTTACTTCAACAAATCTGTTTATAGCAAAACAAATATTCTATCTAGTCTCCCATGAACTGAAAGTTTTATTTGCTTATTCTTTACTCTTAAGTATATAAAGGATAAGAAGGCAGTCAAGTCCATAATAGTACCCAACTGCTGTGTAATCATTAAAAAATCTATGGTGACCAAGACACCAAATAAATAATTTTAAAAACTTGAGAACATAAAGTTTGCTTTGAGGAAAGTGAAATATATCTTTTGTAACCCTTTGTGTGGGATTTTTTTTTCTTCTTCATTAATTTTTAAACAATGAATAAAACTTCCCCAGCTTTATGTGTCATAAACTTTAACAAACCCCACCACCACTTTTTCCTTGGAAAAGATGCCCCTGTTCACATATTTTCTCCTCCTCTCCAGTCCAAAGTATGCTTCTAAGCCAACTAATTCCATTTATTTTCAACAACCATTGGATAGAGAAAAATCTAAATTTAGTTTTCAGGATTTAAGAGTACATATATGAAAAGGTCTCAGTTTTGGTGGGTTTTATGCAGTATTTGTCCTTTTGTGATTGATATATTTCACTCAGCATAATGTTTTCAGGCTCAACCATGTTGTTGTATAATGTTTTAAGAGTTCGCTGTTTTTCAATGATGCTTAATTGTGTGGATGTACCAGTTTCTTTTTTTGATGAGCACTTGGTCTGCTTCCATCTTTTTGCTATTGTGAATAATGCAGCAATAAACATGAGTGTGCCTATATCTATCTGTGTTGCAGCTGATTCCTTTGGGATATATTCCCAGTAGTAGGGTTGCTGTTGTTGTTGTTGTCGTCATTGTTCGGTGCCATCGAGTTGAGTACAATCCATTATAACAAAAGATCTAAATCCTGTTCTATTTTGTGCCATCCTCACACTTCCTGACACACAAAAGCCCACTGTAGCATTCACCTTGTTGAGGACTGAAGGTGCTCCTCTCCTTCTGGGTCAAATAGCTATTTTCAACTACTTGAGGAAGTGTCAGACTGCCTGTTACAACAACAGGCTGAATATGGGGGAGGGGAGAAATAAGGGATATGAGCTAATGGAAAGAGGAAAAGAATGGATAAATGCACACAGCACCAGAACAGCTGAAGGAAAGGACAACGTGAAAGGAATGATCAATTGGATATTATATGTATGACAATTAATAATCTGGGACAGGACAAGCATTATAAAGTGAAGTGGGGGAGGGGAAGGAAGGAAAAGCATGTTTACATGAAAACCAATCTCTTTGCAAATTTTCACGAAAATCACAATTTATGAAACAACTGTAAGTGTAGGGAGAAAAAAAAGGTTTGTTTCACAAAACCCATAAAAAAGCTGTCATAAAATCTTCCCAAATGATTAAGAGTTCACAGCTGTTGCTGTTGTTATATGTTGTCAAGTCAGAACTGACCCAGAGCTGATCCTTAAATTTTGAGAGGCAGTAAATCTTACAGGAGATTGCTTGCCTTTATCCCACTGTGCAGCTGGTGGATCTGTGCCATGTACCTTTGGGTTGGCAGTGCAACTCCTTACCAGTAAGCCACCAGAACTCTCTATAGGTTTACTGTTGTTGTTGTTGTTATGTGCTGTCGAGTCGCCTGCGACTCATAGCGACCCTATGTACAACAGCCCTAAACTCCGCTCTGTCCTGTGCCAATCACACTGTCTTTGACACTCCCATCCCAAT